AACGTTAAAGATTCTTAAATGTTAAGTAGGCTTAAAATTTAAACCTGCTTTAAGTCTATTCTATACCGTATAGAGACATCTGCTAACGTAAAGCAATAGTAAGCACAGAATTCTTTACATTAAACATCGATTTACAACGTGCTTCAATAAAGAGGTCGTTTTATACTCTTGAAATATAAAATTTAAGAGTTTTTATTTTCCTTTTGTTTAATAGATGAACCACACACATTATCCAAACATTTTATTATTAATTTCTGTTTCAAAATTTCTTAATCCACCATTTTTTAATTAAATTTGTTTGTCAAACAAACATTTCGATTAAAATTTTTAGATAATAAATATCCACCCGGCTATAAAAATCGTTATAAAATTCTCGTGATTTTATATAATCGCGTGGGAGTAAATCGGTTTATTGTGTGTGCATTCCGATAAAGTGTTTATTTTTTATTCATTTAAAATTTGATTAAACGCGAATAGTCTATAGGCATTACGTTGAAAATATAATGAACAAAATATTTTATTCATTGTAATTAATTATAGATATAACAGGAAATATATTTGACCACAAAAATAATTCCAGTTTAAAAGCCCGCACCTTTACGCAAATGAATTTTAATAGAAAAAATTAATTCCACGAAACAGTAGCACAAAAGGGTGGAGTATTCATTAAAATTTACAAATATCTAAACATCAGAGCTATTGTTCGAGAAATATACAATTACTTTATCTTCTGAAAAAATTAATTAAGTTGCATAAAATGGGATGGTTCAGATCAGCTCTTAATTTAGCGTTTTTCCCAAGCGACTGCTGAAAGTGAAGGAAAAGATGAAAGCAATGAAAAGACGCTAGATCCATGCATTCTGTAGAGTGCTTTTTCTCGACTTGTCAGAACTTTTCTGTTCTGCACAAGAACCACAATATTCAAGTCTTTCGCTAGTTCTCTTTCTTTTGAACCGAAGAATCACTCAGGCGAGATTATAAGCTATGATATTACTTTTTTAAGTTAACAAATTTTCAAAACACAAATAATTAAACGAGTATAAAAAAATATGATAAACTTACAAACGCAAATCCTTGAGACAGGAAATGCACCTGCGACCGAAGGATAATGCAGGAAGAAATGATAAATGTGTTTTTAACGAAGCGTATTCAAAAACAAAATAATCAGATAGCACAACAACATTTGCAAGAGTTAATTTTATTTTTGTTTTATTGTTTTATGGACTAAGGAATAATTGGCAGTGTGTGAGACGCACTCAATTTGTTGTCTTTAATCGCAGGACTATATCTAAACGAGCGCCCTTCGGGGTCGTCATGACGACGTTATAAGAGCAGCTCCAACCGCCGCTACCGCCATCAGAGCAGAACAGGCGAGTGTGGGATGCAACAGATGCGAGCAGCCGCCACGCGCCAGTTTATCGCCACCCTCGACGCGAAATGGACGCGCTGCCACCACCGCATGTAAAAATATTCCAAATACGTCAAACGGATAAAACTCACAACTTAAAATTAAATAAAAAATAATAATTTAAAAATTTATAGTGAAGTGTGTAATTACGAGTATTAAGAATTAAATAATTATATACTATAAGATAATTAAAATGTTTGAATATTGCAATCAGGAAAAGTTTTGTAAAAAGTTCTAAATGAAAGGTTCAAATTTTGCACAGACTTTAAGACAGGACGAAAATGCATTTAAATCGAGTAATGAATCATCACGAGCTGCATTCGGAGCGTTGCTGCAGCGATCCTGCGTGCGTTAACGCCGTGGCAGCCGCCGCCTCCGCCGAGGCTTCGCAGCTCTCCGTAACTGAGCGCCAGATAATTCTGGGAGTGCTCAAACGCAACGAGCAACTACAAAGAGATCAACAGTTTCGCATTATGTAAGTTCTAATAATAAAATATAAAATAACAAAATCCAACGAGAATATATTTTTATATTTAGTAAAATATTATTTTTTTGCTACACTTTATCCGATTAGTCTCAGTGTTTTTATGCAGGCGTTGTCAGGCCTATAACTATAAATAGCCTATTAGACCTACTGATACGTGAGATTCAAGGCTCACCGCTATACAAACATATTATACATCATACTCAGGGCTTGAAAACATTGTTGATGTGTGTACGTCCCCTGGGAGTACCTACACCTATCCTACACCCTTCATGCGGAAAATTCACTTTCGATTTCTATAAGTGCCGTCCCAGTTTAAAACCCTGTTTGCTCGTACCACAGAGACGGTTTAACATTTAATGTCGTTCTGTTTGCATGATAAATCAATTATTGTTGTGTGAGTTTTTCAAATTAGGTCTTTGTTGTTAATATTTGAGTGTCGATTTAATCACTTGTGATATTGGATGAAGTCAATTGGAAATTGTGTAACAACTTGCAACAATGTAGCAAATCACCAGTATTCCGCGTTGCATATTTTACAAGTTGGATGTTAATTAAAATGTTGTGCAGTGTTTTGCGTATTTCCTGCTAAACATTCGATTCTGAGGTTACCAAAGTTGATGTGTTTGATGTTACAGCTGTTTGAACTTCGATTGGATCAGTTTTCAATTAATTATTTACATACAAACACTTTCCAGATGAAGAAATTTTATTTTATATTTTCGTCTCAAAATAATAATTATTTTATTTTGATGTTGATTAAAATATTTGTTGTGCTCGCAAGCCCTTTAAAATATATTTTTAATAATTATTCTGGCGGTGATGTAGGTACTCGTACTCTGAGCCCGCTTGACAGAACCAGATGAAGCTACTGCCTGGGGTTGTTTGCGGACGCACCTCACATGAGTTCATGTAGCTGGAGCTTTGAAAACGCAAAACCGATAATTCGGTACAATAATAAACGTATTACTAAAACAAGGAGTGTTGCATTAGATAGGACGTGCACAACAAGGGAGTTGCATAAATTAGGTACACGTAACATTTAAATGATATGCACAATTCGAAGAATTACGAGTATTCTCAAGAATATACGAGTAGATGCAGAATCATTGAAGACCCCTGCGGTCTGCGGTGGAAATTGGTTTTGGGATTTTGATTTGGTTCAATTATTCCTGTAGGGGAATCGCTTCACAACCAGACGCACGACCTAAATACTAGAATTTTTACGGTGGTCGGCAAAATCAATTCCTGAAGTGCATCAACACGTCTACGTAAATCCAGCGTGAGTTTAACTCTTCTCTTTCAAAATAATCGAACAATCGGACTGTTAAAACAATTCTACATATGTGCGTATTTAATTACATTATGTTTAAAAATAGCTTTTTAAATTAAATCATTTTTGTTCATTTCCAGTTGGATATTTCGAAATGTTGAACTAAAAATGTATAGATTGGATTCAGATTCTGAGTTGCAAGTCAATTGCATTTGTTTGTGCACAATTTTGTTGTCCCGGGGGTGTAGGTGTAGGTCCTGCCTGTATTGTGCAGGTATTACTTTACTGAAACCTTATTGCATCCAGAAGGTCATTTCTGTAAAATTGCATTTGTTTGTAAACACTGTTCTGCAGTTGCAAAACAATTGATTGTTCCTGCCTTTTGCGTCTTGATCAAAAGAAGCGCCTTCAGCATTTTTTTTTGCTTTCGCGTATTTGTGCAATTATTCATATACGTAGTTTTTATCTCTTCATTTAAATTAAGATAAATTAATTAAAGAAATATGTATATAAAAATATTTTTACAGGAAAAAACTTTTAATTATACGAAGCGCTCTTTTAGTTTCACCTAGGAAATTATTAAAAGAATTTTTCGCTCACCTAGGAAAGGCTAGACCATAAAGGTTAGACTTTCAAGAATTTTTCCAACAAGTCCAAGTTTCCCACTTGACTAAAGATGTAAGTTTTTCCAAAACATTTAGTAACAGTTTGAAAAGCTTTCAAACCATCAGACTGATTCAGAATCAAATCTTAATTCTTTATAATATTTTAGTGTGTAATTCAGTTAATATCAAGTACAATCTGAGCAATATCAATTAGTGTTATAATAGCAAACACTAACGAAATCGATCTGATTTCCCCGAAATCCTGAATTTGATAAATAGTGATGGAGCTATTTGAAAAATGATATTTCCATGGCAATGATCGGTACGTCGAAGGATATCTAAATTGGCTCGCACGACATAATTAAATTTCGTGGAAAATATTTCTTTTCAATAAATAAATATAGCTCTATCCATTGTAATGCATCCACTGATCTTCTATTAATATTAGCCTTTGTCACGCTGTGAACTTGATCTTGAAAAACTTATGCTTCATTTAATAACGTGTTAAAAATTTTTTGCTTGTTTACTCCCCGATGAAAATGAATGTTTATTTTTAATTTTCATATGTTCTTGCATAATGCATTTTCACATCTAAATTTATATTGTAATATACAGTCTCTAACACAAATAACCGTGCAGCTACTGCAGCATTGTTTAAAATAAATGGTATATAATAACGATGTTGAAATTGAACATCCTACAACCAATGCCATATTTTGAACAACGAATAAATTAACAAATTAGTTAATTTATAACATTTAAATAAATTCGACCTAATATCCCATATACAACAACAATAGTACATAATTAAAGCAATTTGCTAAAATATTATCGAAATGTATTGTTCCCAAATGCAATAAACAAATGAAAAATATACAAAATTGACCACCAACTTGTTGCTAAACTCTATATGCGCAATGAAGCGAGACTCAGTCATACCACCTTGAGACCGAAACTGTTTTAACGCACACTAGCGGCCACATAATACCTACCAATACCTACATATCTAACATATGGTATGCTTGCTTGAATGGTATGGTCAATTCTACACCTACCAACGCACTGGCATCCTCGTAGGTGTTCGGGTTTCTCCGTCCACCACATCGGGTATACCATACTGATGGTAAGTAACATAGCTTAAGCGAGCGGAGTTCACCTCCTGCGTGGCGCTGCATGTCGGTCCGCATCTTACCATCGCCGGAACGCCGCCATCCGCTGTTTAACTAGGTATTCTGTTGTCAGTCGGCGTGCCGGTGTGTCGGGGCCGGAATGCTATCAGCTTTCCAGCTTATATTCGCGTTCTAAAAGTGAAACCAAACCAAAATTGACTTAAGTTCATACTCAGAAATTACTTAGTGCATCCGATGCAATCAAACGTAAATTGAAGTGAAAAAGACGTTGATTCAGTGTTGTGCCAAAGTTAATTGGATATACCACCAACTCCCAGAAGAGATTACTCGAGGAACTATATATAACCACATTGGTAATTAAAACATGGTATATAAACAGTGAAGGTATTCAAATTGTATTTCACACCACATACTTTTGCGCATTTCTGGTGTTAGTCAGTCACCAGCAGATTAAATCAAAGCCTTTTAAACCCGGCGATGGTGTGGGTTGAATAATAATGCAATAATGCAGCAGCGAGTAAAATCTGAATTGCGGCTAGCTTGCGGCAGCGATTGTGAGCACAAGAAATGAACGTGCATCGGCCGCACTGGCACACCACCAACACAGACAACTCAGTGCAGGTAGATGCATAGGTTTTCAGCATGAATGTGTCGCTGAGTTTGGTGTGAGTAGTCGGGTTGTGAAACGGGTTCGTAGCTTAGTCGCTTATTCAACTTGAGTCTACCAGGTTTGTTTGAATCACCACCAGCCGCTGAGCAACTCCACGGTTTCCCTTGAACCCCATGGTTGGATAAGACGCGAGTGAACATTATCCAAAAAGAAACATATATTTATAATGATGCATACGGCTTGGAAATTTGATACAAGTTTACCAGCAATATAAAACTTTACAGTCGTTTTGCAAGTCATTTATGAATGACCTCATAAATGGTTGCTGCATATTTAACAATTCATTAAAGTTGGTTCACGACGGTTATGAACTTACAAATTTAAAGTTCAAGCAAAAACTTTACTACTACTCAACTTAAGCCTCGGAATAGACTCAGTCAAAGTTCAGTTTTAAATTTAGGTTAAAGCAAAGTAATAAAATGAAAGTAAATTAATCATCGAAAAAAATGACCGAAACAAATTGCTTCAAGGAGATGTAGAACATATTGAAGTAAAGAAACTTTTAAGGTGCTAGACAATTATAATAGACAATAGATAATCGAGTCGGATGGACGCCATTGAACGATTTTGAACTTGCATTGAATCGTTCAAATTGGAATAACATTGAAAATTAATTGAGGTCTCACTTTATGGAAGCCAGAAATTGATGTGATTAGAATTCTAATTAATCCAAAATAAGATATGATATAATAGTAATACATTTGGCTGCAAGCTGTGTAGATTGTTATTAAAGTTCGTTGTTTCGCCATTGTGCTTTTCGGCTTTCTGTACATTCACTCGCGAGTTTTCATACATTGCAAGTGCTTGCACCGCTTGGACGAGTACATATTGTGTTGCAGTGTACTTATGTTTTACCTGTTCGTGCTGGACTTGGTCAACGACGCCGCCTACCCTCTCCCCTTCACTCGAGCTACAATCCTTTGATTCTTGCGTCTATATATGTGACTGAGAATGACTCGGTCGGTAGGAATTTAGATGTGTGCGCATGTACATGTGTTTTGTGTATGTGAACTTGACTTACCTGGGATGTACATTTGTGTGTGTGTGTGTGTGTGTGTGTTTTGCGACGCGACGCGTTCATCGTTCAGGTTCATCAACCTCACCTCCTCACCTGTCATCTCTATGAGGAACTTCTTCATGCGCTTTTTCACCTTATAAGCAAGTCACCTGTGCGCATGGTGCAAATGAAGTACACACAACACACTCACGTGTATCCTGTGTCCAGTCGTAATATTTTTAATCAAGACGCCATTTTGACGGCGCTGTTGAATTGAATTATTGTTTAGCAGGAAACGGTCGGCTTATACAGACTAATAGCAATAATAAATAATATAAATGGATGCTATTCAGATTATAAAACAGAACAGTGCAGAGCAAAATTAAAGCATTCGTTATTAGGTAATACAATACAATAACATCGGATTAATGTAATTATCTCCGGAGCATGTGTTCATACCCGGTGGCTATTCTGTTCCTTGGTCATTAAGTTTTCCTATATATAGAAACATGACTTACATCATGTAATGAGTATTTTAAACTTTGAAACTTACATAGAAACATCCACAATTGAATTTTGTGATTACCTATGCTTTGATATGGTTTGCTTGGATTTGTTCCTACAACGAAAACTGAGATATGCATGATGTAAACGTTTTTTTGCGCTGATCTTAACGCCGTGTCCTTGATTGGCGCCGCACGAATATTTAAAATAAATGTTGTTATTTGTTGCTATTTGCCGTCGCGGTATTCTTGTTCACGTGCTGTCATTATACAATTTAATATTTTAATTCTGGGTGTTTTTTGCCCATTTATACCCTGAGAGAAAAAAATCAAACAAGCTTTTTCTAAAAGTATTACGATAAGTAGGCTAGACGTAGAAAAAACTAAAGTTTTGTTTCGTGGGCGTAATAATTGAAGTGTATTGCAAGACGTTTTCCAGTTCAACCCCGATTATAGGTTGCAAAGTGCAAAAGTTGGAAGTATTCAACCGTGACAACTATTATTGTCTGTATTCTGTGTTCTTTATTGTAAGAAAGAAGTAAAACATTATTTTGATCTTTTTGCTGGCAGTCTGGAAAGTGTTTGCATCTTTTATTTATAAATAACTTTCGATGAAATGTATTGAGTATTATATTTACGGAATGCAATATTGTATAGCTATCATTTTCTCTGTATAGTTCAGATCAGACTTTAAACACACTTGCAGCAAAGCAAAGCAGCTTTCATCTTTGCTTTCTTACACTTCGGGAGATTTGCTACTATACTCGTACTTGTCGGCAGCTTTAGCAAAACGCAGCCAGATACAAATAGGTACTCATTTTACTGCAAGCCTCCATCCTCCATTCCTTCGCGGTATCTGTTTTTAGCTTTAAACGAAAATGGAAAGTATGTCAGAAATTGTCAGCGTACGCCAACGCGCACGTATTCTATCGATTCGCGAACCGCCGTTTGCGTTTTCTATCGTTCAACGCGTGCTGCGGTTTTCCAACACAATCCCGGCTGATGTATCGCGTGCACGGCGCGTCAGTCCTTTCTGCATCCGCCAACGGGTAACCAGCAACCAGTAACAAGTACAAATGCCAGAATCTACTTACGAAGAGACAACAAAATTAACAAGTATTACTACAAAAACTTTTCTCATAAAATGATTATAAATCATATTATCTAACTGTAAAATCTAATTATAATTGTTTGTTTTATATCCCGGAAATCTTTCGGATTATACCTACATATGTGAGTTAGTGACTTAAGTCATTAAACCAACAAATCATATCCGCTTTACTAGTTTTACTCTCGAGTCAACACTCATTTAATCACACGAGGTTCACACCCAGCCTTACCTAGAACAAAACGACTCACACTTTATTTAGAGTTTGTCTTTGTCTTAGGTATGACTTAACCGATAATTTATATTCCGACATTTTGCATATTTGTAACAACTTCCACTAATGAAAAATTATTTGATATGAATGCAAATATTATTATTATTATTCAGTGACTTAAAGTGTTTGCTTTTTGCATAAAGTGTGGAAATTGGCTCAACGGAAACATGCAAGCGACAAAAAATAGAAGATAAACTAGAAACTAGATCTAAGGCAGGGCTTGGTCTCTCATGTCATTTGCTAGATAATAAGAATAATGTTGCAGCCATTATTAAAACCATGCAACACTTGTGCTCAAAATAGGAATAAAAGCAGTGTACTCTTTGTGCCTCTCTTGATGCTTTATTATAGGCGTGACCTTTGGGAGCAAATCCGAGAAAATACTGCTTACAACACCGTACATAATACGAAATAACGAATACTAAGCAGAATTCAAACCTGAGTCACGTTGGCTAGAAAATAGATACAGTTATTGTAGTTGGTTTGTACTCGACGGATCTTTGTACTGCATTTTTTCTCACAAGTACAGATAGCCAGATTTCGGACACAGAGAGGCGAGAGGCGAGTATTGCGACACGGTGGATCAAACCATATCAAATCTTTTGTACTAAGTTAAAGTTATGGAGTCGTAAATTGTTGGAATAACTTTATGCTGTATTATTTTATTCATAATTTGTTTCAGTTCCTTTCTCGAAGTCTTGTGAATGTTTAATTGTATAAAAATTAAGCGCATTTGAATTGAAGCTTTGCCGGTGTAATTATTGTCAAATAAAATATAGTAGAATGTGAGCTCAATTCTTTATAAAAGAAGAATAGCATTGTGTCATAATCGGCCATAATAATAAGTAAAATATTTTAATTTGATTGCTTTAACAAGCAAGTTTGTTTGGTTTGGTTTGGATTCATTATACAATATGAGAATTATTTAAATTATTCAGTACTTAAATTTAAAAAGGGGGTTAGTATACAATCAAATTGCAATTAGGCCAAGATTAACCTCAAAACATATTTGGAAGACTAATTTGGTTCAAAGTTGAAAATTTTAAGTATTTTAAGCAATTTCAGATTAAATATAAACAAAACGCTTAATTTATTTGACGCAATTGATTTTGTTTCAATTAAATTGATTATCCAGATATGTTTAATCCAAATTTTTATTTCATAACAAAGCGATTTTACGAAATAAAATTTATAATCACACAATGTTATCAGAAAATTGATTCATAAATCTAATCGCCTTTAAACATAAATTGCTAATTAAAACATAACTCTAAAAGCACAACAAGGTGCAAACACAAAAGATACTCTTAATTAAGGCACTTAACAATTAAATCCACACCAAATGAATTGATCTTGCTATATCTTGCGGCATTAAATGCTAATGAGAAGCAACAACGCCCAAGGGAGACCTCCTCTCCGTATACTCAATGAATCTTTTAATAAGTATAGCGACTTGTGCCCATGTATGAAATCATGAAACGCTCTGGTAATGTGGGAAAGCCATCGCTCGAGTGACTTCATCACAATGGGCGCGGAATGCACAAGATTTTCTATTACAGCAAAATTCCTTCATATTATTCATAATACAAGTTCAACGCTCAACATGAGAAAAGTTACAATTACAATATTTGCAACTGGAATTGTCTCTCGATTCCAGCATTTGCAAACGGCGGAAACGAGTCCGGAAATGTAAGAAGTATTCTGTATATTAAAAACTTTTCAGTGATGTGTTTTCCGTTATTTCTGCTATTATAAGATGAAAAGTTCATGTTTTTCCGTTCAAGTTCAACAAATATTGAGCGCAATTCAGCGCTGTCAGCGAGAGAATAATATTACTTGTTCCTTTCACGGTGCGAGTTTTTGAACGAGAGAAGACGAGATAGAAGCAACTGCGGGTAATTGCGCATCGAATGTCGTCCCCGGATCTTTCACGAACGACTTTCTAATAGATAGCGATGAGTAAACACTCGATAAGCGGCTGGCATTAAGTGCATTAATGATTAAGTACTTCTGCGCGCTTTCAGATATAATATAAAATGTATATAGAAAAAATGAAATTCATATGAAAAATTAACCTAATATAAACTATGAAACCATGTAAGGTAATATTTATTAAATAATGGAAGTACATACTTGTGGTACACACTTTATCGATATCGAATTTGGGAAAATATGATTATTTCTTATCGCCATTTTCAATTTCACCAATCAAGGTAATAAGATTATGAAGTTGTGCCTTCATACTAACAAGTTCTCCCTCCATTAATTTTACACTTTTTGTTAAAGTGACAGCCACGTTTTTCAAACTGCGAATTGTTAGTTTATCTGCTGGATTTGTTGTCTTCTCAGAAGGTTCTTTTGGTTCTGGTTCTTTTGACTTGACAAAATCTGAACCTAGTAATTCTGTTGATTTTGAATGGTATAGAGCTTTTCTAGCCGATACTTTATTGTTATTTATTGTTGTATCAACTTCGTCGATTTTACTTTCTTTTGAACCCTCTGGTGATAGTCTTCTGAGGGCTTCCACATTACCCACTGATAATGGTCGATCTGTTCTATTTCGTATTGGGGTTTGCCTACGAAAACCTCCATTTAGAGGCTGGACACTTCCTGTTTTGAACATGTTTTCGTCTGCTTTCTTTTCTTCTTTCTTTTCTTGTGGTTGAGGTGAATCTGGTGGGGTAGAATAAGAGTTCTCGTCTAAGGGAATATTAGCGGCAACCAGTTGTTCTTTAAAGATGTTTGTAGATTTTGGACGAGTTGACGGCGCCTTGACTCGGTTAGATCGAACGTCATTGAGAATTTCATTACGTTCAATACGATCCAATGTACTGTTGTTTTCATTTACTACCTCGTTTGATAAGTTATCAGTACTTTTTGAAGTAAATTTATTTAAAGGCAATCGCGATTCGGTCGGTTCCTTAGTAAAATTGTAAGTCACCGGTCGTGTTTCAAATGCCTTCCTTGGATTATTATCAGAGGCAGGTGCGGTTGCCGAATCGCATGCCGTAGTTTCTTCTTTTGTAACTTCCGGTGCATCCGGGCTATCTAATTGGGCATCTTCTTGCGGTGATGGTTTTTTTGGGGCTTGGAATTTATTCATGAGGGCATTACCCAATGCTGCGCCAAATTTTCCTCCATTTTTCTTCAACATGCTCGGAAGGAACATGTTTGGAGGTTTGTCATTTTCTGTAAATTACTGTGTTAAGTATTGATTTTATAATTTATATAATAGATTTAGTTACCTGTATCATCAGACGACATTGTCGCAACCGCCACACGCAAAAATTGAATTGACTGAACAAGTTATCACCTGGTGCGTTGATCGCATGTGTTTATGGATTTGGATTGATAAGATTACACGATGTTCACCTTGTATTGTAAATCGATAGCGTGTTTGGTTAAAACTTGAATTATTATCAGATTTTTCCTAGAGTTTTGTTAATCATGAGATTAATTTAATTCGTTTGACAATTTTGCCAATTATATAATGCGAATATATATTAATCGATAAAGGGATTTTAAATTGGAGTATATTTTTGTGTTATTTTAAGATAAGCCGATTTTAATTGGATTTATTTTTCTAGACGACTTCAAGCTGAGCTTCAAATCCTCCGACAGAAAGGCGCCATTAGAGTAGATGATCCCGACGGACCAGATCCAGATCGTTCCTGCGGGAGGTGTCGGGTCGAGCTAGGCCGTGTGATCAACCGAGGTGCCACTTGCCGGGCATGCAGATTCCGTGTGTGCAAGAGCTGCCGCGTCTATCATCTGACTGGATCCGAGTGGGTGTGCACGGTGTGCCACAAACACATGTAAGTAACCCAATTAGGATCGTTGTAAAAGCATTGTACCATTGTGCCATCGATATTCCCATAACTAATCCTCAATGACAATAATAATTGTGTCAATCATGAAGATTTCAACACTAAATACCATTTGGAGTCATGCCAGTCACGACCATCTCATCAATGGCAGCGTGCATGTTCATCGTTGGAGAAGTTGTGGGTGAATGAATCATCCGTCGGCGCAATTATTATTAAATATTGTTTGGATTGGTTAATTGATGGATAGATGTAGTGAACGCGTGTTGTTTTTAGGAGGCGATGTTAGTTGGTTGCGGGCGATTGTCGAGCGTGGTGTAATATCATATTGGAGTGCTTTTCGAAGTTTTGTAATTTATAGAGGAAACTGTTTCACTAAGTGGGTTATAACCGACGTGCGGTCCTAATGGTTACAGGGAAATCCAAGCAGCGACCGGTGAGTGGATGAACGAGTTCGTCCGGCGTCCCAGCAGGCGGCGAGACAATCGAGTTTACAATCCCTCCACTGATATCATAAAACGTTCCATTCGAAGATCTTGGACCATTTCGAGTAAGAACCGGAATAATTAATACCGAATTTAAATGATAAAATATTGTGCATTTTAGGCCCATCAACAAGATGGAGTTTCATGAGAGGCAATCAGGATTTTCGTCCCTATAGTAGTCTTCCTCGTAGCAACGATATTAATAATTACCCCTCTCTAATATCTCACCAACAGCCACCGAAGCCAAAACAACTGCCTCAACCTCCAGTGCAGCAGGTGCACAACTCGAACGCAAATTTGATCACATCGAACTCGAATACGAACACAAACTTGCCAGAAGCATCGCAGCATAATCTAAACAATCCCGGCGTTAGAGTTTCATTGATTTGGCGCCGCCGCTCGCCCACGAAACGCTCACAATCAGAAGATGTTTATGGCGACGCGACCACCACCTGCGACCAGCCCCAACAGCCGCAACCTCAGCCCACAACCACTTCGAATATTTTCAAAGACCTAAAAGATCCATTTAGCTTCCTAACGTTGAATAACAATCAAAGTTCTAAAAATACCCCCGCTCAAAGTGGTAACAAAATCAAACGGGAAACTTCACCAAAACCACGAGTTAACCCACTCATTAAGTATGCTTCTGAAAGGAAACCTGCCAAGTTGGAGACAAGCTCCGATTCAGACATGTCCGACAACGAGACTATGGACCTGATGAAAACGATGAAGTCGAAACGGAAGCTGCAGCACGCCAAGTCTGACGGCGCGAGTGATCGAGAAGCCGGGAAGTTGAATGTGACGAGAAGACCATTGGAGACTAGTAAATCAGAGGAATGCCCGAGGTTCGGGTTGAACATGCATCAACTATCAGAAAAGCGTGTCAGTTTCTCGACGGACAAAGACGATTGTATGCTTGCGAATAGTGAACGGGAGGAGGGGGCGGCAGTGCGCGTGGATACTTATTCACAACCCTCTGTTCTGCAGTCGACACGGGCGGAAATTCAGTTAACGGAGCGCGATGAGGTCCCGATTGAATTATGTGACATCGAGCCGATCAGCGGAACTGTTTTCCGAAAGGTCACTGTGCGTAGGCGGCGGCAGGATATGCGAAAAATGCCCGCCGTGGATGCAGGTAAACAATATATTTTAACTAAATTATATCTAAAAATTAAGAACCTGCATGAAATTTCATTACTATTCACAATCATAACATTATGCTATTTAGTGCTATATGTATATAAAAATGCCTACAGTGAATTGTTATAAGCAACTATCCTACGTAGGATAACATTTGTTGGCAATGCTTCTATTAATATATATGAATTTAACAAGTATGGCATGCATGAATACATAAAGTGGAGATTGCTTCAAAGAAAATATCCCGCGGGCGTCTTTGGGTGTTGGTTGCAGTTAGCTCGTATGTCGGTGTACGGGGGTGGGTGCAAGGCCTTAGTGGCGATTCAATTGCGTTATCGCTGCTCTGACTAACTCAATAACAAGCGCGAGCGTGCAGCTCTTGCTTCAAAGCAAGAAGTATAAAAATGCGCACGGAGGTGTAACTGCTATCTGCATGCCCATAACAAGGCAATATTTCGTGTGGGCGCCACAGCACTAAAATCTCGTAGTTGGCATGTTGGGTGGAGGGCACAGACTTGTCCGTCTCGGGCATACACATACATTGTTGGCTTTTGCCAACGCTGCGTGCGCGACGACAAGAATTTATTCATTCATTGTAACACAACTCTTTGTCCGCTCGCGACGCTTTTGAACTAGGTTGGCGACGCGGAGGCACGCAACACGATCCCGACCTGCTCGATATTCTCCTGCCTGAAGGCGACGACTACAAGCTGGTGTTCATCAGTTCGGACTCATCGTCAAAGGAAGAAGACCCAGATGACAACGATAGTACCACGACCAGTTCGAGCTACCCGATTGACGAGTGTGATTGGGATTATTTTGAACCAGGTGGTGGTACACCTGGTCAGGGTAAACCAATGCTATCCTGGACTACGTCTCCGTTCGGTTCCCCGAGAGTGTATCGTAAAGGTTTGGCGGAATCTCCATTGGGATCTCCGTTGGTTTATAGACGAAGCGTGAGGGAATCTGGTACAGACACTGGAACAGATGATGATATTGTGAGATTTGATACCAGATCACCATCATCTTCATCTTCTAGGGATGTTGAGGTGGAGGAAAAAGAAAAGGTGCGTATTGGAGTTGGTAATACCGGTGGTGTGACCGGCATGGAAGACGCATCGTTACAGTGCGTGCATCAGGATGTTATAGAAACGCCTGAGCGCCCGCAGTGTAAAAACTGTGGTGGGAGTAGTGGTGGCGCCGGTGGCAGCACAACGCAGTATGTGCCTATTCCGGTTCCGGTGCCCATTCCGGTGCCAATGTCACAGTGGCACCCACATGAGCTGGTTGTCTACACGCCAGAAACATTAGAAGCGCTGCGAAATCAGCTGCGCGTATTGCCACGAGTGCTGTGCGCCTACCTCAATCAGGCGGCGATTATCTGGCCATTGATTAACGCTGGCGAGCCAAATCCGTTTGCCACGGCTCTCCAGCAGCACTTACAGCAGACCATCAGTGCGGCGAGCGGTGATTCCGGTAGGCAACAGAGCGACGCAGGTTGTGTAACCCAAGCTGAAGCAGACGCCGCCGATTCATCAGCGGATGCACGCCCGGTGAACTTGAGCGAGACGCCGGTCGACCAAACGTCGATACCGGTCCCAGTCGCGGAAGAAACCCTCACGAGTGTAGACATTGATACAGAAATGAAACTGAAGAATATCAACGAGAAACCGCAAATAAAAACAGAGTTTCTACATTCCGATAATGGTTATAATACAGATCTTGGTGGGCATCTAGCATGTGATAAGAAAATGGACTCTGAGTCCTCATCGTCATCCAGCTCAGAGGAGGAAGACGAAGCTGATGCCACTATTGTTGCCAGGTTGAAGAAAAAGGTTAAAACGAGAAGTTATAGTATTAATGATAAGAGTGACGTGATTGATGAAGTGTTAATGACGGATACAGTAGGTAGTGCTTCCTGTACTTCCTCGGACGATTCCGAGGTGGATTCCAGCGAAAATCAAATAAGTTCCGATGACAATTCGGAAAACGAGAAGAAGAAACGTAAATTTTCCAGAGTGTACGTTGTGAATGTTGCTAGTTCCAATGAAACATCTTCTGACAACGATACAGACGTCGATGGCGATTTTGGTATTATTTTGACCAAGATTAAACCACTTGACGACGAAGTTCTCCCCGCACTTGAACCTATAAAACCTGTGATAAGCGAAGCGGATTGTGATACAAAATCGGAATGTGAAGAAGAAAAGACTGATCCTGATGATGATAAATCCGCATTAGATGAAAAGTTAAGTAAGTCGGAGGAGCATAAAGAAGTCGACGGCGTGTGTGTAAATGAAGACGAGGCGAGCGCTGGCAGCGAACGGAACGAAAACGCGGGGATCCGGTCCGACGATCGTGGACCCGTTACGCAGCTCGGCGGTGCTACATGCATTGCGGAGGTGGAGGGGCTCGCGAACGAAGCGGACACGCGCTGCCTCGACTCTCGGGCAGGTGTGCGCTGCGCGGCAGTCACCGCCGAGCATGAAACGCATGCCGCTACGTCGTCGCTGCGTCACGCGAACAACAGCGCGCGCTACACCAGCCTGATAATGATCACGCAGGACGCGCCGGCGCCACCACAGCCACCGCCTCCATATGCTCCTGTCAGCGTCGTCACGTCCGACACGACGACTCTTGTCGCAGATAACGATGATGACATCGTGGTGCGCCACACCAACTGTCAACAGCAAGCAAGCACTCAACAACTGCTAGACAATGCCGACCACGCCGCCCCCACTGCCAAACCGCGATATTTCACACTGACGTTGGAACACGCGGATCGACCACCTGTTGTATCCGAAGCGGCGGCGACGGCTACCACAGACAAGCCGCGAATAATAGATGGAAGCGAACAAAACTCTGATGGTGAAGACAATAAAGATGTCACGCTCGTTGGCTCGCCCGACACGCTTACGCACACTCACAAATTACGCGCACCGGCCACAACAACTTCAGAAACTAGTACTAGTGCTGAAAACAAAGACGCCGAAAATGTTACAGTGATAACGGGTGCGGATACGTTATCAGCGGTAGTGTGTCTAGAGGAAGGACTTGCTGACGATGATTCATGGGTAGAGGATTTGAGCCATGACGATCAGGAGTTTGATTCTGATGAAGATTCTTCTTCTGGTGAGGAGGTCCTTCATTGTACAGTCGCCATTGATCATGAGGATGAACTTAGAGGCTATCATCGTACTGCCATTGACTTCACCCTTCATACCATTGTTGAAGAAAGTTGTGAAGAAAGTGAGGTTGAAACTCCAACGACCAAAAAGCAACGTCCCCAATCCGCAACAGACTTAGAAAAATATTTCTTCTTTGGTCTTGGGGATGGCAACACTGTTCGAGATGATGCTCTCTCCGAAACTAGCAGTATTTGTAGTGAAAGTTTAGATTCCTATGTGGGTACTGAAGAAACAACGAATCACGAAACGAACGATCCTGCCGAATTAGCTTCATCTAGATTAGAAAAGTATTTTCTTAGTGGATTTACAAATTTTAAATCAGGACGAAGGGACTCTGATGGTTCCGTGGGTAGTGATAGTGAAGGTAAACCAAGCCCCGAGCAGCGAAGAAAACGTTTAGTACGCGCTAGGGGCACCGGTAGATCTCATTCGTCTTCCCTGGATAATCTAATTGTTTCAAATCCTGACCTGTCCAATATGGAATTAAACGACCAGCCGGAAGAAGCATCTTCCAGCTCGGATACCGACACGTATGATGAATCAAATTTTGATAAAAACGACGGACAATTCGATACTGTCAAACGTAAGAAGAACAAAAAGCGCAATGGAACATCTTCTCCTTCTGAAGAGACAAAACCTTTAGAAACAACTCAAGAAGTCAACGAAGATTCAGAAGAAGATGGTCACAAGACACCACAACCCATTGAATCATTTACTTCGGACTTTAATAACCGCAATAAACAACAAAGTCGTGATAGTGGTTTTATCGGAAGCAACGATGATCTAAATAAAGACACACGTGACAATAACAACGAACTATCTATAAGTGACAATCGCAACGAATTAAAAATGAACTTGTATAACATATCAGAGGAGAAGCGGGTCGATGAACGAATTACCGAGTCAACACCTCCTGCGACGTCGTTGACGAGAAAGGACAGTTTTAACAATTGGAGTTCCGACGAGGAGACCAACCTTATGATGTGCAAAATGCGTCAATTCTTCAAGACAATGGTGGCAGCGAACAATACCTCCAAACCAACAACGCCAATCATGGGCGGTCCTCGTGGATCACCGAAACCTGTGCCCAGCCCAAGATTGAAAAATCGTTGTAAACCACCGCAACTAGTGTATTTCGAAAATGAACTGACCAGGCTGATGAAAACAGTTCCGGGAATTCGCGATGACCAGGTGCGAGAAATTGTGGAATATCTTAGTAGCGAGGACACATGGAGCGATTCGTATGACTCATCGGATTATACTAGCAGCGACTTAGAAGGTACAGCAGTGTGTAATAAATCCGTTCTGCAACAACAGATTTCAGACAGTTGCAAGCAAATTATAAATAAATTTGATACAAGTGTTGATGATGAAGGGGATGAAGGTGATGGTGGTATTTTGGAAGAGACACATGGTCTTAATAGGGAAACAGCATTTGTCTATCAAAAATTGGTGGCGTCATTTGAAAAAATTGCTACTGGTGATAGTGATGAGAACAAAACCAACTCACCTCCATTAATTGCAAAGGTGATGCATCACATTGGTAGCAGGCTCGTAGCGTTGATGCATGAAGTATCAAGTGGAGAGAGTCATGCTTCCAATAGTCCCAAACAAAGATATCATAGACGATCCCAACAGAAAATATCTTCATCAACAACCACCACAGAAGATGATGATAGCACTTCTGATAGCAATATAAATGATAAACTATCTGGAATGGATGACGTAACACCGTATAATTTGCTACCAAGGAGCAGATCCCATGATCTTCTGGTCAGTGAAGGAAGAGCTCATCACCAATCAGTGTCTGATATTGCCGAGGAGCGTGAAACCTCTGACTGTGAACGGTTTAGTTGGAGAGGTAGCTTTGAATCTGCACTTTTAGCAACAGATAGTCGCAATAGACTTTCCCTAATTGGTGGAGAAGGTTCTGCATCAGCTTCAGCACTCGCTATAGCCGCCAAACGCAGATCTGCAGGTGATCTTCTCTTCAGTAACAAGAGTTTGAGCAGAGAACAACTGGACCGAGTGCGTAGTTGTGGTAGTATTGGTGGTGCAAACAGTGAAGACAAGTTGTGGGTGGCAAGTGGACGTCCCTCACGACGTCGATCGAGTGTACCTGATGCCTCATGCGGTTCGGGCGGTTCTGCGGATGGTGAAGACGACGACGACGATGAACTCGAAAACCGCTCGACACTTCCTCGAAGTTTGCAATCCAGCACCGCAACCACGAACTCCTTACCTAGACTGCCCACAAACACCGCCACGAATAGTATGCAAAAGGCACAATCAATGCATCAATTTCCTCCGCAGAATAGCGTGAAGAGTGCGCGATACAGGCCGCCTGGCTTTAGCAGACTGATTACAAGCAGTGTTCCCAGTGTTCCTAAACGTGCGGTGTCCGCTCCGGGCTTGCAACCAACACCACAAAGACGCGGTAGAAGGCAGCAGCCAGCTCTTGTAGCTGCACAAAGTGGTGAGTTGAAGTTTTACATTGTATATCTCGGTAATCACAGCAATCACAGATTTTACGAGTCTATTACGCATTGACACTGTCGGATCTCAAGGTAGAGGAATTTTTATGACTTTATTATTATGCACACGACATTAATAGACAACATTGTACCTGTAATCGTTTACAATCTTGGAAAATGTCAAAGTCGTTTCACCCACTCGCGGGCTTGTTTATTGATTGCGGAAGCAGTTCATTACATCCTTGCCCACCTCGCATGACTACAATTAGGCACTTGAAATTTGAACCCACAATAAAAACAGCTGTGAAATTAATTTGATAAATGTAAATAGTTTAAAAGTCCATGTACTATAATCAATATAAATATTGTTTCCATCGGATGAATACGAGTACCTCAATAGTCAGCTATTTTTATATGGAAAAATATTATTCTTCTACATAACTCGCAAGATTCCTGACATAACTGTAATCAGGTTGCACCGCTATGCATACATTCGCTGCAACGATCGGCAGTCGAATTGAAATTACTAGCGAGGTAGAAGTGAAATAACTGCGCGGTGCGAGAATATTTACTGTAATGGTGCGTACTATTGATAAATCGAATGGGACACGAACACGATTACATCCAAAGATGATATATACGACCATACATGATAGAGATATGGAGGTAGTGAACATAAAAAGTGCATATCCGCATATTCCACATACGTACGCACATATCTATCGACTAACGCACATACTGGAATTTATATACATTGAGAGGAATGTGTATATTATTTAAAAAACGATGAAGGAGTAACGGTGTAAGGTGTTGAGTAGCCAAGTGACGACAATTTACCTTGACCTAGATGGAAATGATTTTGCATTTGGAATTCTTTTTTCTTTTAATACATACTTTGATATTTTTGAAAGTAAATAATTACAATTTTGTAAAATGGCATACATTTTTATTGCTGCACCAAGAAGCAAGGATGTTCTGCGTGTTCGTAATGCGCAGATTTTCTACTTTCACTTTTCGAGCCAACGCTCCTTCTTTTTTGTTGTTGATGTTGTTGTTTTGTTGCGTTTCATTCTTGTTAATACATATTAGGAACAATACTTTGTGCTTGTTCACTTAATTTTTTACTTTTTTGATTACTACTGACAGCATGATGGAAAAAAAATCAATTTTCCCATAGTTAAATAAAACATCAATTATTTACAATTTTGCAATGCATTGCATGACCTGTTATTATTCCAATTAGACGTTGTTAGTCGCATTTAATTAAAACGCGTACCAGGCACAGCTCTCAGGCGCGTTTCACTAGCAACAAGTCAAGATTTTTGCAATTCTGTCGTTTCTACAATGACTTAACCTAAGTAATAATAAGTCCGTGGCTGACTGGTCGGATGTCATAAGTAATAAAGTGACTTAAGCGTCGACATAATAAAATACAAATGCGTACATTCCGTCTAGTTATTGCAATTAAACTTTATTAATCGTTGTTCATTTATTTTTTTTCAAAAAAGTCATTTCACGTCTTATTTATGGATAAATTATATCTGCAATTATACAATTAGTCTTTAAGTCATTAAGCAATTAAAAACAATCGTGCCAATACTCTCGTGTTCCCATTCTGATGGCAAATGCTTTTCTCTCTGGAATATTGCAGATATACAAATAAATATTCCTGATGCTGTAGGATATAGGCTAATATACCTACTATTAATATGCACATTGTAATTTGTATTGTTTTAGTTGGTGAAAGTTGAATGAACTGGATACATTCAACTTTGGTTAAAATTAGTTTCGCTATGCGTATTATATAAACAGGTTAATTTTAATTTTAATAACCAAGACGAACTCAATGCTTTATTACGTTATAATAATTTAAAGTGCAATTTTATAGTATTTACCCATTTACGGACTTGTTTGGTACTGTTTCTATATTTGTTTAAAGATTTGTCTTATACTATAAATAGTGATAATAGTCAGAGCGGGATGTAGAAAACAAGAATCGTAATTAAAGCCCCAGAAGACGGAAGATTTTCTACGTAATCTCCTTACGTCTACTGTTAATTAGGTTTGGTTCAACAACGGGACTTGTCCTCGCCTAATTAATTAATAATATAATACACAAGACATGACTTCTTGAGTAATACTCAAAGTAGCACCAAGCTAATTATATTTTCTTTGCTATTTTCATCAATTTTTATTGAAATTAGCAAATAACTACATTTCTTATAATTTTTAATGCTTAACATTACAAAAGAGAAATTGAGCTCAGTAGACCAGTCCGGAACGAACACCAAAGCAATCTGTGTTTAAGTATTAACGGAATAATCAGTTTATTATCTAGTATTAATAAAAAAATAATCAAATTTTATTTTGCAAGTTAGTTTATTATTTTATAAACGGTCTTGAAATTTAATGGATATGCTTTTTGCGAGTATCATGTTCTCATTCATTTGATGTTGACGAAAATGTGTAGCTCAAGCGGAAATGCAATCGGCATGTTTGTTTACGCATTGCATTTGAACACAATGCAAATAAACATTTTATATTATAGGGAATTTCAAATTGTGAGCAAAATAGGTTGTTTGAGAAGTGGCACAAAATATTAATTCGCGAAATAAATAAATACTGTCTGTTAGTTTCGCAAAGGTGAAGAGAGATATGTTGAGCTCTAAAACCCCGCAACTGGACTATTTTTAACTGCGGGCGACCAGAAACAGTAGTGGGGGTAGAGAGGACTCTAGAGATTTACGACCCGTAAAATGTGGTGGGGGTAAGCACTCACGAGGGTGCGTGCTACCCGCGCAAAACCGGACTAAAAAGCAAGAGAAGTATGAGTCATCAGAGCGAATATGGTATATGGCAATGTTACTTTCATTGTTATAAAGTTCTCCTCTCGCGCGTCATTGCACACAAAGCCAAGGACCTAGTACTTTATAAAACTGCATGCAGTGCAAAAAACCAATTGGAAAAGTACGACAAAAAAGAACTAAGAAACGTGGGTGGTATTTAAGTTGTCAGACCGGGTCGATTTGCTCGGTGCGTAATTTGATACTCGCTCGAATTTCATGACCAAGTTACAGACATTTTATTAAGAACTCACAAGTAGAGTAACTTAATAGAACATTGGGTTATTCTATCTCGCAAGAACAAGTCTGAAACAAAACCTGAACGATTACGTGTCACATGTTGGAACCAAATGTTGCGCTGTCACTAAACGTGACACAATTATAAATTCATTATGTATAGACGCGGTTGAACTACGAGCGTAAAATAACAACAAATCATATCACAGTTCGATAAAAATACAATTCAATGCCGTGTTAATCTCAGAATTGTTCTATTTATACTTTATTAATTAATAGAACTTAAGTGATTTATTTTACAATGCGTTTAAATAGACGTTATATTTATCAGCAATAATGTAATGAAAGAATTAAAGACGTTGTTATTTAGTTATTGACGTAGGAAGTAAATCGAAATTGAAACTTTGAGGTGAAACGATGGAAACCACAGCGAGTGAAAAAAGACACATTAAACATTAAGACAAAGACATTCCTGCTGGGCAGTCAGTGAATCGCCGTCCTGTTCGGTCATTTTCCTAACAATCGCTGCACATTGAGTGCAAAACTACAAGAATTTCTATTAACTACGACTTAAAAACGCTTAAAATACCAAAAAAACATTACTATAACTATTTTAAACCTTGGCAAATAAATAATATACAAGGTGTTTCTACGTTGTAAAATAAAAACATGTATATCTCATAATATTAGCTGACTTAAGCAAGTTTAAATAGGTCTAATGCTTATAGCATACACGCACTCGTAGATATTTCAAGGACAATTTCGTATATTTCACCTTTGCGTTCTCCGAACCTCCACATCGCACTCGCAGCCATTCACACTCGTACGAATGCTTGTGTACATTAATTGTGTTTGTAAGTACGAATGTCGGTGTGAGTCTTAAGTGCGAGTGTGTTTACGATTGTGATTGTAAGCATGGCATTTGCTTCGCACGGGCTTCTCTCACCTGAGCACATAGTGCGACACAGCGACATAACTCAGGTACACAAGTAATGTGCAGGTTAACGTTAGGTCAACGTCACAAGCTAAAAATAACTTCAAAATATTTGAATATTGGTAGTGCGTAAATAATATGAAAACATTCGTTTTTACGTTGCTAATGATAACCGTCGAAAACAAAACTCACATCCGAATTCAGTTTGAAGTCGCATTTTTCTTTGAACACATTGTAACTTATATAAAATTACAATTTACATCAAATTTAAATTCTAAAGTTTGCTATTAAATCAATATAAACTAGTCTAGACTCAAGTGAATGTTAAAAGTTTTCTGACTCCGATTTGAACTATTTCTATTTCTTACGTAGGTTAAACTTGTTAGTTACAATAACCAGAACTTCAAAATCTTCCGTAGGTGGACAAACATAAAGACTGATTTATGTGATTATTGTCCCGGGTTTTTTGTTAACTCGCTCTATTTCTTGTTAATTAACACAAAAAATTGTCCACCATGACAAATACAAACATGCGCACCAAAATATGTCGCTTAAAATCAAGAGGCATTGAATTACAGTTAAATTAAATTATTAGAATTTATTGCTTGATTGTCACGCACTAATCTCTTAAATAATTTATCTAATAATTATCTTTTTAATAGTTTAACTATTTAGATATTAAAATAATTAATTTAAAATGGGCGTATGTCACATATATCAAACAAAAAGCGATAAAATTAATGTCAATATGTTTGAAATACTCTGGTTTAGAGATTGATAGGAATGATTCAATCACATACTCGAAATATGAAACAAACAACGTGTTAACACGTTATCACACGCGGAAAGTGCGCGTGTTGCGCGACAAAAATGAATTCAAAGCGTTGTATCGAGCACAATGAACCGTACAGAGTGAATACTAAATACGATGCTAACTAAAACATTGACAATGAGAGTATGTACAAAACATGTTCATGGTGTGAATTTAACACACCTGAAGCGCGGATACGTGTACATCAAAATGTCTTTATATTATACATTATGATGGTATTTTGATCTGAAAATAACGTTGAGAACACTCGTCTTCTTTGTTGCTCCTGTTGTTGTTGTTGTTGTTCTGGGATTGTTGGCTTTGATGCACAGTCAAAGATATCAAAAGGGTGCGTTATCATGCGGCTTTACAACGATGCTCACCGCCGGCGATGAAACGTTGAACGCCTAAAAGCCGCGTCGCTTTGTTATTGAACTTGCGAATGATGCTGAATCGGAAATTAAACACACCGAAATACGGAAGTGACATGTGAGTGTGTGTGCGATTTACTCGGAAGTCGGAAGTATCCATCGAAGTCAATCTCGAATTTACCTCTAATATATTTACATTTATAGAAAATATAAATTCAACTTTTATCGGAAATGAATAGAATATTATTCTGTATGCTGAATAAATACCATTATATTTTGTATTTACCTTGAAAAATTGATAACAATGGCTGAAAAGAGTTTTTTTCTAAATAGTTCAATGCCGCTAAATTATTATCATTTAATTAATTTTTTTTTGCTAGACTGTTTGAAAAGTGCAACCTTGTGTTTATTTAATCACATGCTGAATAGAGCAGTAAAAAATTCTATTTTCCGGCTTCTCCTTATTTTGTATTTTCCAGCATGTCACGCTATTCATCGCTCAATACTTTGTACAAACAACAACGCTGGCATTTCTACACATTTCCGCCTTGTAGATTATTTAATTTAATTAGTACTCATTTGATCGCTTTGATGTTATAGTACACATCAATCGATTTGTAAGTGACTCACCTTAAAGAGTGTTTTTGTTATGGGTCTTGCCCAATATCTTTACTTCAAATAAATCAAGCGAAATGATAGTGACTTGTTCGACAGTTTAGTGCTTAGATGACTTGCTATTTATATATTTGAATGATTGGTTCTTTAGGTGATTAGAAATTTAACTTTCTTTTCAATGCTCATGATATGATCAACTATGAAATGTTAGGAGCAGGATGCAAACCGGAACTAAGACGCTACTTTTACGCATATTAAACATTCTATTCTTGTTTATTTTAATGTTAGTATTAATTAATTAATGTTCAATATCATGATATATTCGTAAATAGTTGTAGCACTTGTTAAAAAAGAGCAGTGATGAAAGTTCAGAATGCCAAGCCCGGCGTACCCAGAATTTTGTATGTAGATGCATAACGTTATTACAAAACTTGCGTTAACAACAATAATAACTAGGTAGGCTATATTTATATGCATTCTTACGCTCATCATACATTCAAATTTACCATACATTCGCATCCACGCCAGTTATGTAATAAGTGAATATGCTTGTAACATGCAACCGTACTGAGTGTCTTCGTTAACAAAGGCCACTCTCTAATTACTTGATTTGAGCAATTCTGCGAAACTCGACTCGACTGCACTCGGCGTAGTCTGTTTTTGCAAAGAGATAATTAATAAAATGAATAATAAAATTCGCCCAAGTATAAAAAAAAGTGTTGAGATTTATAATATGGTTTTATATGTGGGGAAACCACAAGACAAAATGTACATTAATGACCACTGGCAGATAAAATTCAGCGGAACTGCATGAATCATTACTCGAAATTATCGAAAACAGAACAGTTAAATTCAGTCACTTCGTGAATTTCAAGCGTGTCATATGGATTTTAAAATTAAATAAATAGTAAATAATTTTAAAATGGGTTCTTCGCATTCAGTTGCATCAAACTCTAGTTCTTCTTGTTATGGCAGTATAAACAAAACTAGTTGTAAATCAAATAAAAGATCACCGAAACAAGAGAATTCAAATAGTGAATGTTGTAGTGGCTATAAACGTAGTTTGAAGTGCTTCTTCTGCTGCTGCTGCTCGAGTTGCTGCTGCAATGCTGATTCAGCTGATTATGAACTGGAACTCGCAAAAGCACGCAGGTTTCCTGAACCTGAGAGGTATATGATTTTCAGTCGGCTATCCAACAAACAACGCATGTTTGATGCAATTCTCAGAAGTACCGAGCAGACGGCAGCAGCTTCGAGCTCAATTTCACAAATGGAAAACGAAAAAGACGAGAAAGAAGTTAGAGAGGAAAATAATTTGAATGATAATAAAAAAGAGAAGATTAAATCAGATAATATTCCGATAATAGGTGACAATGGAACTCATGAAACCCACCGATTGTTTCGCAGAGATAAAGATATTGACACATGGTCTGTGTGGTCTTCCTCAGTAGTACAGAATCCGGAAGTTTGGTATAATGAACGACAGCGTGAGGATGAGATTATTAATACCGTTGCATGTTCACCTATGATTAAAGTTTCACCACCAGAAAATACAGGTAATACCAAAATTATTGGATTTTACAAGAACTGGTTTAAACTAATGGATATAATTTGAATGTATTCAACTAAAAATAACTCGGCTTGCAAATGTCAAATTTCCAAATTTTGATTTCTTTGATACCAACAGTAGTGTTTGAACTTTTGCAAGAATAACATAATGGGAAACAAATCCACTCACGAGCCATTCAGGCGTTTTCCCGAACCGGATAAAAACATAGTTTTCAGTCGCTTATCAAATAAAAAACGCGTTTTTGATTCGATTTTAAAAAGTATCGATAATGATGAGCAATCAAGTGTTAATACTCGCAAGAAAAGTGATGCAGATTCTTCCTGGTCAGTATTGTCGTATTTAGTTGTGTACAACCCGGAAGAGTGGTGCAATCAACGCGAACGAGAAGATTATATCATCAAAACAGTCACGTGTAATCCACAAGTTGGAAATATTAACCAAGGTATTCGTTTTGTTATTTAAACTGTAATTATTGATTAATTATTCGCATTTTCATATTTGTTGTTGGTACTTTGAACGAATTAACGAATATAATAGATGCAGGTTCTCTGGGCGGACTTTCTCTAATTCAACAAAGCGCAAACGATTGCTCATAATAGGCAAATGCTTCTTTCGTTCGTCGGTGCGAAATACCCGCTCGCAAACAAATATATACGAGTACGTCAGAGAATTAAATTTCCGCAGGCGACTGCTTCGAATATTGTCTGTCGTTTTACTTTCACGGTTTCAATCAGCGCTCGCGCTTTTCATTATTTGCATTTGAATTAGCAAGAATACAACTTGTTGCAGTTTTACACTGTGGATCTACGAGGCTTGTTGTGTTATTATAGAGATATTGTTATAATTCGTTATGCGAGAGCTGATAATTGGTTCACTTGTTTTTCAATTTATGCATTTATGCTTCTGTGTCACTTGGCTCACTTTTATTTGATGTCTGTTTTGAACGAACACATGTTTGTTGTGTGCTATGTATAAATTACAACTTTCCAAATTTAATGTTTACAATGAAAACTGCTGTGCATGTGCGAATTTGCATTTGCATTTTGCCTCTAGTGATAAATTGATCGTAAAATAATTTCAACGTTAAAGAGAAAAAATGAATGTGATTAAGAATTAATGCTCTCATTGTGTTACTTTTAGCTTTAATCTGAAATATTTTATTCTTCTGACGTGACTATAGGTCAATGATAGAATTGTATTCGGTTCTTGATTCAAATGCTTGCGATTCCCACGAGAATCGCGCATTGTTTGGTGATTTTTCGATGAACTTTCTAGCACATTGTTCGTTCGTCACGTCGACATCTGAAGATGCTTACTTTTCTTATATATTTTCCATGCAACTAATTTTTTGCTCATTTGCAGACGACGTGAGCATCAGCGAAGCTCACTCCTCACCGATGTTGACACCGCGCTCGGCAAAGAGCGCGACGCCGTCCCCGGTCGCCCACAAGTCTGCGAGGTCTTTGGGAAGTCAAGAATGGCAGCACAACGAGGAGGATATAGATCATCTAGTTGCAATACATTCGAAAAGGAATAGTTTATCCAATTTAGGGGTAAGTTTAACGCCAATTTCAGCAACATGGTGTTAACCAACACTTTTGTGCCTTAAATTTTCTAAATTCAATTGTTTTTCAGAATCGTTCCGATTCGATGGCAAGTGTGTACTCAGGAGCTGGTGAAGGACGTTATGGCACCGTGGCAGTCAAAGGACAAGTCGAGTTTGGTTTACAGTACAATTATAAAGCAGGCGCTTTGGAAATCAACGTCAAACAATGCCGAGATCTGGCCGCAGTGGATAGCAAGCGAAATCGTTCAGATCCTTACGTAAAAGTATACCTCTTGCCGGACAAGTCCAAGAGTGGCAAACGCAAGACAAAAGTGAAAAAGCACACATTAAACCCTATCTTTGACGAGTGTCTCAAGTTCCATATGTCGTTAAGTGGACTGGAAACACGCACACTCTGGTTGACCGTGTGGCACTCCGATATGTTCGGACGAAATGACTTCCTCGGAGAGGTCATGATGACTTTAGAGAATAAAGTCTTCGATGACCCCACGCCAATGTGGTATAATTTACAAGAACGCGTAAGTTTTACTAACTTGCTAATAAAATATATTCTAAAATATTAATTAATTGTTTGCAGACTGAACCCTTTGATGATCTATCGTTCAAAGGTGACATCCTAGTGGGGTTGAAGTTTGTACCGCCAGATATGACGGTGCATAAAAAAGGAAAGCGCTCGAGAGGAGCACTACACGTCCTCGTGAAGGAAGCGAAATCATTGACGGCTGTGAAAGCGAACGGAACCTCAGATCCGTTTTGTAAAAGGTAATAAACTTACTATTAATTAACAAAAATGACAAATACCATAATATTTTTACCTTTTTCAGTTATTTGCTGCCAGATAAAGGACGTCACAGTAAACAGAAGACGTCTGTAATCCGCAGAACAGTGAACCCAGTCTGGAATCACACATTTGTGTACGATGACGTTACTTTACAGGAGTTGGCCGAACGATGCTTGGAGTTGACGATATGGGATCACGATAGACTTGCTAGCAATGAATTTGTTGGGGGGGTTAGATTCTCATTAGGCACAGGTACTTACAAAACAAAATATTTTCAATTTCCACGCTCTAACTTTAAAATTTGTAGGTAAAACTTATGGAAAGTCTGTCGATTGGATGGACGCATCTGGTAAGGAGTTGTCCCTATGGAAGAGTATGCTGGAACGTCCCAATTTCTGGGTGGAAGCATGCGTATCCTTACGGTCGTCGCTCGAACACCGGACGTCGTAGCGCCGATAAAATAATCAAGTTTATTTAAATATTACTTGCTGATAACGACCATATTAGGAGTAATACTGCGTCACATAGTTAATGTTGTTATAAGCGATTGTCGTTTGTATGATATGATAATGATAACCGTGTTTTGTTCTATTTTTGTGTTTGGTCGAAAACTATTGTACATGATATTTTTTCTATCCTACGATTTATTTCGATTTGACTCATATATCAATGCGTATTTGCTAACAAATGAAAACGTGATTGTGTGGTGCCTATGAACGAAACCAAATGATCTGAGGCGTTTTGTTTTACACACACACACACATATATATATATATAAAATATAAATGATTAATAAAAAACATATATTTTTAAATTTGTTTGTCACCATCATTATCAACACTGTTCAACATTAATTTTTTTGTTTATGTATTCTCGACAACTTCCAAGCGTCATTATGATCATTTGTGATTATGATGCTGAACGTTTCACACGCAGAATGAAGAAAATTAATATAAATAAATATGCTATTCTGTGGCTTCAGGGCTGGGCTAACATCGGTGGATGGAGCTAGTTTGCTATGGGATTATTAATACCATCAAGTCACGCGCTCGCGTTCGTTTAGTTTAACACGTTTAACACGCAGAAAACATTAAATTAGCACTTAGATTATTTAATTGCCGTTTATCGCGTCTCAGGTTTGTTCTTGGGCGGTTTAAACATTTTTATCTTTTTATTCGTCTTCTCCTTTTTATCTTTCTTTTTCGCTGATCCACCAGCTTGAAACGTCTGCCAGCTATCGACACGATTTTGTCGAGATTCCTATAATAAACATTTGAAGAACAAATTGATTTAAATTTCATAAAATGTAGAAAATTTAAAAATATTGATATGTAAATACCTCAAAATTCTTCTGCCACTCTTTCTGAGCTTTCTGTTGCTCCTCTTCTTCGATTTCCGATTCGCGTTTGCGTTTTCTTTCCTCTTGTGCTCGGTCAGCTAGATCGCGCCTTTTCCTCTCCATATCTGCAAAAAGTTTCATTGTAAGAACATAAACGGCATGTTTATATTTTTCTGGGTCGTCTTCTGGCACGGCGCCATCTTTGCCTTCTTTTTTGGCTTTTTTGCGTTTCTCTGCAAGCTACAATCACATTGATAATTAAAGCCGTTAAGCACATATTGCACCAGATATCGCACTCTCACTACAAGACTAGCAACGTGACATAACTATATTCATTACAATGTTCTCTGAATGAAAGCATCACTTGGTAAAACATCAACTTCTTTTGGTGGGGTTCATTTCCTAAAACTCTTCAGTTTCTGTAAAAGAAATACACAACACAATATATATACTCAAATAAAAACAATTCAAGAGCCCTGTGTATAAAAATATAAATGAACAACAATAGTTCTTCTATTAATTTGTATAAAAACTTATAATAAACATGTAATAATAATTTAATTAATGTTTTGGTTGTAAATTTTTGTGTTCTACCAACCCCAACTATATTTACATTAGTTGATCTTGTAGTGAAAGTGCAATATACTATAATATCTATGAGCAATACCAACCATTATGTCTGTTCGGCCTTTGGCTTCCTCAATAACATCAAGACACTTTTTTCTAGTTTCATCACTCTCCAATGTTTTCCATGCTTTATTCAGAATTTCAAAAGCTTGCTGTGCTCGGTCTGCATCATCCTGATTCTTATCAGGATGCACCAATATAGAGTATTTTCGATATGTTTTCTTAATTTGTTCAACTGGTGTGTCTGGGTCAACTTGCAATACTTCGAAGGGGTTCAGATTAAAGTATGTAGAACCAGGCCGTAATAAACGATCAATTTGTTGTTTGGACGTCAGTACTGAGTCTCTTTTTTCAATTGCTTTTACCTGCCAGAGTAAACATTGAATTACTTTTAATTTTAATGATTGTTTACCAAACTGTTGCATTGTTATTGATGTTCAAGAGGAAAGAAAATCACGCAGAAAGAAGGAATGAAATGATTTGGACTTACCTCTGAATAGTACTCAGAGAATTCCTCCTCCTTCTCAGTCATGATTGTTGGTAAATAACAACGTTGAGAGTGATAAGATATTTATTTTATGGCAATTTACTCTGTTCTCTCGATAATAATAACCTACATATCGTAAACGACATTGAAGTTATCTGAAATGTAGGTATCGTTGTCGCTGTTGTTTCCTCTAGCAAAGTACTTATCTGACTAGAACAACGTGCTGCTCATAGATGGCAGTTCCAGTCCAAAGTTTTAATAAAATTAAATAAACTTTGAGGTGAACATTAAAAATTAGTTACAGACTTATGATATTGATAACATAGAACATAGATAAATTCTATGCTTTGGTCTATACTTATTAAATAGGCTATTGTTTACTTACTCTTGTATGCTTGTTTGCTACATCTATAATAATGTTCTTTTTTATCTGTGATTTCAATCTGGCATAATGAAGAAAACTTAATATTAAACTAACAAAAAATATCCCCATATGAAGGTAAATAGGCAAATAGAAAAACTGTCAGCAGGTTTGTGTCTAGTTAATTTATTGGGAGTTTTAATTAACTTTTATAACAAATAATAATTTAGAACTTTGGTTTGGATTTACTTTTGACATCAACTTTGAATGCTCTTTTTTGGGAATTAAGTCAAAGTAAATTAACAAAAATTAAAATGTAGAATTTGTCATAAGGTCAAAGTAAATAATTATAATCTTTTTGAGCATCATTAAAAAGTTGTGACGCAATTACAGGCCCAGAAATTAAAGTAAATACGTTAATTAACCAATCAAAACATATCATGAAAGTAAATATTAATGTTTTTTCAAAGAACACTTGAATAAGTCAATTCATTGTAGAATGAAAGTATGAATAAAATTTATGAATGATATCAATTCTGAATTACAGATTCAAATAAATACCAATTTTACGTTACTTTACTTTACTGGTTAGGTAATTTCATTCTAAATAACGTGGAAAACTTAAACAAATAATTGCTTTGTTTATTATTTATTTATACAAAACCCTTTTTGCTAAAACACCTAAAATTTCAACCCGCGCACGATATTCATCGCGACGTGTCTTCAGATAAGTACGCGTTTTGTTGTGCTAAACTAAACTATTTAGTATTCAAAATACGAAGAGGTAGAAACGCGCACCGGGGGCAAAACGCCGCCTCTGCTCCGCTCGTTTACTTCGCAGTTACAGTCGAGTCATGCATATTCATGGCGTTCGTAATTAATCATCAAGTGTTGTAGTCGGCGCGGTGGCAGCTTTTACAAAAGCGCCCGGCCAACCCTAAATGCAAAAACCCGCCAAGAGAAACTGCAAAATATGGGCCCTCTTCATGCCTTTGAAGCTTCCAACAATGAAATTTCAAAGTTTATACTAAAGGAAACTAAACTAAACCAATATTTTGCTTATAAAATGCATAATTTTTGTGGATATGCTTGGAAATCTGCGCCATTTTGTTGAGATTTAACGGATTTTTGTATTTGAAAGCAAAATGAAAACAAAACACGCACAATTATTAAAGCAAATGAAAATTTATGAATTATAATAAATATAAATCGTTTACAACTGCGTGTTTGCGCGCTTTCACGCTATGCTTTGCTCTACAAAGTAAATGTCTTTGCGACGTTAAGCTCAATTAACGTCGCATTGGTGCGCTGAAATGCCGCGCCGTTTTGCATAAGTTAATTATGAGTTATTAGGAACTTAGAGCCGTGTCGGCGTGGGGCGGCGCGGGGGGGCGCAGGGCGAGCGAAACGAAAGATGAAGTGCGCACCGCCGTATTTAATGTTTATGCATTGTATCTTTGCAAATGTGAACAATAGAGCACACTTTCGGCATCTCTTCTTCTATTCTTCGCCGCGTTGGCGGCGGCGGCGGAATCACGGCGCGCATAATCGCACAACGTGAACGTAACCATGGCGCACAATGCGAAAAGAGAGACAAATCTGAAGATTACGTGGGAGCTTTGCATTAATTTTGATTGCATAATGTGTTTCAAAATAAATTATTTATATCTTTAATGTGTGCATAGTTAATTATTTCTATAAAACTTTAAAAATAAAATAAAAATAATTTTAATAAACACTTACACCCATTACACCCATTATTTTTCCCTGCCTAATTTGTATCCAACGATGACACCCTGAAAAACCAACAGATAATATAATAAATCGTCGAATAACAAATACAATTTACCGCCACATTATTAGGCACAATGGAGAAATGAACACCATCTGTTGCCAATACACAGGGGCGACCCATCCAACTATCAGCAGTACATTTGCAAAAAAGACCATAATAGTGAAGCCAAGTCACACAGTGCAACCCTAAATCATATGGAAGAGGAGTAACTAGAGATAACTAGATATAAATACTGCTGGTGTATGTGTGTGTACTGCTGACTGTTTGAACTGGGCATTGTTGTGTAGCTTGTTCATACAAGGGACGAAAAAACACGCCTACTGGACTTTCTTTATCCATTCATATGAGATATGAACGAGGGATGAACAAAAAAGACAGCAGACAAATCGTATTTGAAAACATGTCATAATAAACGGCCAGTCATTAATTTATTACTATTTGGACTCCAAACGGATTCTGTTTTTATTATATGTGGATTTAGCAAGTAAGTAAATTCTCTTTTAATTTGCTTGAAAGTTTAGTTCACGTTTATTCTATACCCATACGCTAGTTCATTCTAAAGCTAGAGCGGGTTCTATCCTAGCTTCGGTTCCAACAACAAAACACGTGTAATAAAGTTAGTAGACAGGTTTAGTGGTTGGTAAGGTATGGCCGCGGCGCATAAGGTGCCCCGAACGCATCCCCTTCGACCGACCAGCGTCCACTGCTTCTGCCTTGGCCACAGCAGGTCCGTGGAGATAATAAAACTCAGTGCCTAAGCTTTCGGGCCGACAAAGCCGCGGCTGAGGTAAATTGCCGTGCGTGGATTACGCTGGGATTTGTTTAGGAGCTTCTGCCACCTGCAGGACGACGCGCTCTCCACAACCACTACCACCTCTTCGGCTGCATCTTTCCGAACAGGATACAAACACAAACAGGTAAGCTGGACATTGGCAAAAAGTCTCTATTGGCCACTCTAGAAGAGTCCTGATACTATACTAGTAGTGGTACAACCTGGGGCAGGAAGAAACCTCGGCTCCGGGTTCTAAAACTAATTTGGTTATACACGTAAAGGACTTACACTTTATGTACGAGAGTATTACCTACATGGGAGGTGCATTTACACTGCGGGAAAACGTTGAGGTCCGAGGAATATAACACTTCGAGATAGGTGAAGCTGGAAAGCTCGGATTCTAGCAATATCACTTAAAATTGTTTTCCACTATTTTAGACTCTATTTACAGTGAATGAACATGGGCTAACTGCCGAATAGTAAACATTTAAATTAAATTAGTTTTATATCTACAAAGGAACAACAACAATCTTTAAAACTGCGAAAATAAATCCTCGGTTTTGTTTTCTTATTGATAGAGGAATTTCTATAGAGTAACCACAAACTAAATAAACAAACTCAACATTTTATCCTTTCTTTACCTTGCTGTGTATCTGTGCATCGTTCACACTTTCAGCAAACTCGGCGTTGCCGCAGACAATATATCATTCGAATATGAATTGTATGAGGTTATAACAACCAACAATGGACAGGCTGGTATTGTGATGTAAATATCAGGGATCTAGCCACCGCTAGCTACCCCTGGGCTGGAATATTCCTGCACGAAATGCAAACGTTTGCAACATTCGCAACGAGAGCAAACATTGCGGGGATCTTCGCCGCCATTGTCCGTTCCGCTCCGGCCTGGGATTAGATCGGTTATAACTTCGCCGACCGCGCACTTCCAACAAGGGCAGAGAACTATTGTTCCTTGGGGTTGCTTCCCGTACAGCAACAATGCGTCTTTGTTGTCCCAAGGCGTCAGCACATATTAACTCCTAATAATGATGATAACCAACAACACCGACAGGGACCTAGTGGTCGAAGTAGAGTTAGACCAGGTAGTAATATCACCTAGTGTAGATGTTTTCAAGGAGTATTAGGAATTTGTCCGCCTTTTGTGCACCATTGTCCTATGGTTAAACCCATTTTAAACAACTTTTATTCATGCTGCTGTATTAAACGATTAGCGCACAAAAGAAACGAGTTCTAACCTTTAAAAAAATGATTTATTAAGTGATAACCAACGTTCGAAATCAATGTTGATCCGTGGATTACAAGAAAATGCAAGGATATTAACTATTTATTTAGTTTTTATTTCAAGTAGATTTATTCCGTGATTCTTACAGTTGATTCCCACAGCTCACGTTTATCGCAGTGCATCACATCAGGTTATATCCAATAATAGATATTATCCTGTAATAAAAGTTTCAATAACTCTATCATATCTAGAAAGCCACAAAATTGCACGGAATGTGGAAAGTGAATGGCGGTTACGAGTGGGTGAAATATAAAATAATGCCGTAAATTTTGCAACGTGCGACTTTTAGATAGCAGCCAATGTTTATTGTAACTTTTATTAAATTTATTGCGTTCATTACGCTTTACGGCTGTTACTACCTACCGATATTGGCAGAGAGGAGCGCGATTCATCATTTACCTGGCTGCTCGCTGTTTGTGACACGACAAAAAATGTATTTATCAAACGCGCTCGCGGCGCGATATCGTCGTTTTGTGATTGATTTACGACCACTCACGGCACGGCGCAGATGCAACTGATAAACGTCACTCACGCACTCACTGTAAATTATTTATATTCACCATTTTCAAATTCCACGTATCATTCATACACGTATCGCATATGGTCACGTATTAACTTGTAACATATTTTAGTTATTTATGTAAATATATTAATATTAATATAATATATCTTAAATAAAATATCCTGCAAATAAAAAATATTCTATGTTTGTTTAATATTTTCCGGCTTAATTCTTGATTATCCGTTTGAAATACACGCTTCAATAGAGTATTACTTGTTGTGTTTGTTGTTTCAATATGAATGCTTGTTGCGGGTTGTTGTTGCATCCGCATTAAATTCCTCTCAGTCATTGTCGTTGTTGCAATGCTTTCGCTGGTCGCCGGTGGCAAAGTGCAAGCTTTCCAGGTGAACGCCAACCGGAAGCCGCGCTTA